GCTCATGTACCCATGAAGCGCCTCAAAGAGGAGTAACGAAGGGGCAACGAAGCGCAGAGAACGGTAGAGCAAGAGAGACGAGGACACGTAAAAGTGATTGCGGCGAAATTAGAAGCGATGCAGAACTAGTATGTCTTCGGTCTCGTCGATCTTGCAACAGGTTTCTGAAATGCAATCTCAGAGGTCAACACTATATCCTGTTCCCATTGGTCGCTCGGTCAGCTCTATCTGCCCTTCCTGACCCGCACCCGTCTTAGGGACGAACATACCTGTTGATTCTCGAACCCATTCGCAACTTACTTCCTCGTCAGAGCAGCCCGTACGTCCTTGAACTTGCACTAGGCTGGCCCATACATGCCAGTAGCGAAGCACGAGTCACGGCTCAGCGCAGCGACGTCGACGATACTGTCGTCCCTCCCAGATTAATTATCAGGGGCTCATAGCGGTCATGCGACGTTAGGGCGAAACGTGTATGTGCTCGCTCTCAGGATAACACCGACCCTGCTCCTCTCAACCAATTTGTGCTAACGTCTCGCTGCGCATCGCTTGCCCGCTCTGCTCAACGCAGCACACGGCGTACACCGTACACGCACGAGGGTAGTTCCCCCTCAGAGTGTAGACCTCATTTCCCTCTACTTCCCTCTCCTCGCTCCCTGCTCTCGTCTCACGCCTGCTTGATACGAGCTCACGAGGTCTGTTTAGGCGCTGCAATATTCGTCAGCCCTGATTCGCCCAGTCTCAGTTGGCAGCCCATCAACTGTCGCAACCGTTCCGCGTGCGCCGCCCTGCTATGGTGTGAGTCGCGCGGCCTCGCATGCAGAACTCCTCTCTTCTGCTCGTTCGCTGATTCACCCACTGTTCTCTCTCCCTCACAATTCCCCTCTCTCCTTGTCAACTACCTCTCTTTCCTCCCGTTCAGACATTGACCGCTGTCCGTCAGCCTAATGCGGGTTCTTCCGCAGGCTGCAGTTCATTCGCATACAGGAAAATGAGGAAGAATCATGGAGAGGCCTCGTTATCCTCGCACACCCAAACTGTTCAGTTGCGGGCGGAGAACGACTCGCGCTTCACCCTCCTGCATAAAAAAAACTTCGTCTGTACCTCATCCTCGGTTGCCCAGCGACCCGCGCACTCCTTCCTCGCCCGATTGCCCTCGAGCAGCGCAGCGTTCCTCCGATCTATGCACGCGGCTCCTCTAGTGTTTCCCCCCCTCTCTTTGTTGACTTCCATAACCGCTTCCCCACCACAGTGGCGAGGGCGGGGGACACCTTGCACGTCTTTCCGAATCTCCCCCAACTGTCGTCCAAGTTCCTGCTATATGCGACTGCCCCTGTAGGCATGGGCCTCCCCGAAGTTACGGGCACATGGCCAAAATCATACGAGCCCGATAGTACCTCGAAAACCCGAAGGGTACCGGTACCGTGAAATCTGACGCCCACAGTGCCACGGCTCCCGCTCGGAACCCTAATGAGCTCGACAGCGAGTGGTACTAGATCAACATCACCGTATCAGCCCCAATTTTTGGAGCTACGGTATTGTGGCCCCATATCAGCGCCGTAGGCTGCCGCACCGGCATCGGGGTGCCATATGGTCCCACACCTACGTCGAGTCAACAGCGGTCCTGACGTACTCGCCCAGGGCTGTAGTAGACTGTACCATGCGAAAGTCGAACGAAAAACAAGCGTGAAGCAACTGCCCGGAAATGCCATCTATGTCGAACCAGAAATAAGTTTGCCACAACGGTTCCGAAACTGAACTGAGTTCCAAAGCTGAACCGAGCTGCCGCAGTGGTACCGGATCCGAAAAACAAATCACGGTGATGACCCCGAACCTGAAATAGACCGCCGTGGTGGTCCCGAGGCTAAAACAAACCGTCATGACGGTACCGGACTGGACATAAACACCCGAGATTGCGCCGAAATTAAATCACTGTGACGCCACCGATTCTCTCCCGAACCTAAAAAAAAAACGACGTGAGGATACCGAACCGGAAATACGATGATATCGAATCCCGAAATAAATCGTCGTGACGATACCGATCTTAATACCGAACCTGAAGTAAATCACCGTGATAATTCCGAATCTGAATTAAACTGCCCCGAGGCCGCCGAACCTGACACATTCCATCGTGAGGGTGTCAACCCTGAAAACAAATCGGCGTGACAGTTCCGAACCTGACATAAACTGCTGCAGTGGCCGCGGACCAGGTAATAAATCGCCGCGGTGTCCCAAACCTGAAAATAAGTCACGGTAATGGCGCCGAAGCTGAAACAAGGTATCACGATAGCACCGAGCCCGAAATAAACTGATGTCAAACCCGAAACAACTGTCGTAGCGGTCCCGGACCTGGAAATAAATCATTACAGTGGCCGCAAACCTGAAAATAAGTCACCATAATGGCCTCAACTCTGAAACAAACTGACGCCGACCCCATACCGAACCACGTGCACGTCGGATACCGCAGGACGCGGCCACTCCATAACAATACCGAACCTCTCCGAACCATGTATCCGTACCGAGCCAAATACCATACTGTCGATCCAAGGTAGCACCACCCCATGCTGTCCATGCGACTCCCGCTCTCAGAATATCCCAACTGCGATAAAGTTAGTAATCAAGCAAACCAAGGAAAGCGACGCAGGGAACTTCGATTATCGGCAGTACTGAAAACTGTTAGAATCCAGAGAAAATGATCAATCCAAGGTCAGAGATGATGGCGGGTAATCGACGCGAAATTAGGCCAATCTCCCAATAGTCATGGGTTCCCGTCCCTTTCATCGTTTTTAATCATTCTTCCTTTTCCTTAATTCTATTGTCTGAAATTGTAAATTAACCGTAACTTTCCCAAAATTAAATTCCGAGAAAGTTTAAATAAATGGTTGAATTCCTTCTGTTTCTTTTCTCTTTTACCATTTTTAATCTTTTTTTATGTTTTTGATTTCATTGCCGGGAACATAAAATAACAAGGGTATTCCCTCTAGAATTAAATGCCGTGAAAAATAAAGAAATTGAGGGATATTATGTTTTTTTCTTCTCCCCTACTGTTCTTAATCCCTTTTCCCCATCTTTAATTATGGTACTAAAATAGACAAAAATTTGAGGCCTCATTTCGGCCCCGGTCGTATGCTGCAAAAACGTTGCGGCGAGGTCAGTTCCCGCGATGCCTCTCCGCGGCAGGCCAGTCCGGGTTTAACCCTCTGAACGGTCGGAAATGACGGTCCCTAGATGTGCCGAGTGCGGCCACCCGTTTCACTATTTTCCAGGGCTACTCTTGTCAGACGACATGGAGAAAATTAAGGGTCCCTTCTCTACCCCTAATTTTTCCCGGTGCGTCGGGCGAAAGTCCTGGTGTATCCCCGCCTTGCCATTTAATCTAGAGGTGAATATGTCGAGTTCAGGGTGACCGACCGGGGTTCGGTCGCCCGACAAACAAGCCCGGACCTCTTCTCGACAGCCCCGTCGAGCCTGCAGTCTCCATCAGACGAAACGAACAAGATCTAAAATAATTACACTCGCGCGCGGCCCATGCCGGCGTCTCTCTGTTTTGTGTTTCGGTCTCTCTGAAATCCTGGGACTAAGGGGATGTTTTTCTCCCTTTTTATGCCACGGCCGCTTGGGCTTAGCGACAACCGTTTTTCTCGATTTCTTCCCTCGTCGGAGAAGCAACCCCGTAGGGGCTCCCCCTCGTCTCATACAGACTCGGCGTTTGGGCCTCTGTAACACGAACAACCATTTCTTCTTCCTCCCCAGTGTCAGGCCCTTGACTTTCTTGGTTTCCGCTCTCTTTCTCTTCTTTGAACTATCACCTACATCATACCGTCTAGACACTCCATCCTCCGTTACCTTCGCTTTGCCCTTCCCTTTTGGGTCGGATAGTCTCAGAGTAGGAGCAAAGGTTTCCCTTGGCCTGAACAACTTAAATCTACTCCCTGCCACGGTGTCCTTCCATCTAGATCCATCTAGCTCAACAATCATGTAAGCTCCCCAGATCAATGCCTTGACTACTCGGTAGGGACCCATCCATCTGTTAGCTAGTTTCCCTGTTCAAGTCCTCTCTAACGCCGCGTCATACAGAAGCACCAGATCACCGACTGTTATCTTTTCTTTCCTTATCCTGATGTCTTTGTCTCATTTCTCTTTGCCTTTCTCTCGCTGAACCGTCAACCGATTGGCGGGAGTCATGAGCTCATCCTCCAATCCGTATGCCATCTGTCTAGTCCTAGCCGCTAGAAGGTCCTCTCGTGTCATATTATCAGTCCAATCAATCGTAGTCCAGCTGTCTACGTGGAACTCTATAGGTAGAGGGTAGTGCCTCCCAAACCATAGAGTCTATGGTCGGTATCCCGTACTCACTCGCACTGTGACATTGTCTGCCCATATCGCATATCGGAAATATTTCATCCAGTGACTCTCTTTCCCTCTACACCACTTAGCGAGCGATGCTATCAGCAACTGATGTCCTCGCTCTACCGGCGCATTGGACTGAGGATGATAGGCAGTAGCTGTCGAGACTCTAGCTCCCGCTTTCTTGAATACGCTTTGTACCTCATCCGCCAAGAACTCTGCTCCTCGATCCATCACGGTCTTACTAACACACCCGTACCTTGATAGGTATTCTAGAACAAAGTTCTTAACTTCCTTGGCTGCCTTCGTTCTCATGGGTTTCCCGTCGACAAATCCAGTGAAATCGTCTCTGATGTTTACTACGTAATTCATATTCCCGACGCCTCTTGGCATCTTCACTAGATCAATGTGCACTTTTTCGCCCGGTCTTGTACGATAGGACGGATGAAGCGGCTCCTTATATCTGATAAGGGACCTCTTCTGACAACCTTCACAGGTCACGCAGTACCTTTCAACTTTCCACCAATACAGCCTGCAGACTTTCTCGTACGTTCCTTTCACTCCTCTATGTCCGCCGACTACTTCGTCGTGAAGCTCAGCTATTATCTTCAGTCTCTCCTCCGGATCGCAGACTACTCTCAGGGGCATACCTGACCCAATGGGTCTGCGAAACAGATTTCCGGCCCTCAAGCAGTACTAGGTTGCTTGTCTCCGGGTCTCTGATTCTGGACTCTCCTCACCAGACGGGTGCAACTCGATCGCACGGTATTTTCCTTCATAAAGATTCACTAGGAACTGATCGGTGCGTCTGGGTTCAGTAATTGTTAATGCTGTCACCGTTATCGACCGTTCGACCTCAATCGGGATGCGTGAAAGTCCATCAGCTACAACGTTCTTTGCACCCGAGATTCTCTCGACGGTGTAGTCGTAGAGTCGTATCCTGATCAGCCATCTGGCGATCGTAGGATCGGTCAAGGTGAAGTCCTTCTGTAGGACTGATGCTACCGCAGTAGGATCTACCCGTAGGATGAATCGTCTTCCATAAATGTAATGCCTAAACGTATCCAGACATCGTAAGACTGCCAATACCTCCTTCTTAAATTGACTGTAGTTGCGCTCCGCTGTGTTGAGCGTACGCTTTTCAAATCTCAACGGTCTTGCCTTCCCATCAGCGTCCTTCTGCGAGAGTAGTCCTCCGACTGAGCACCGCCCAACATCCGTAGATACTATGAATGGCCTATTGGTCTCGTCGTCGAAGAATGGTACCCCCAAGATTCGGCCACCGTCCTTGAATTCTCCTTTAAGTGTTAAGATCGCGAGTTCCTGAGAAAAATCCCAGTAAAATTTTTCCGTTTTCCTAAGGAGAATCCGTAGTAACTCCGCCTTCTCTGCGTATGCTCGGATAAAGATCTGCCAGTACCCCACAACTCCTAAGAATTGGCGGACCTTCATTGCACTGTGCAGCGGCGTCGGCCAATTCAAGAGCTTGTCCAGCTTGGTCGGATCGGCTCGTTGTCCTCTCGAATCACATATAAAGCCCAATATTTTGATCGACGATACCGCCCATCTGCTCTTCGTTCCACTGACCGTTAGGTTCGCCTCATCCAACTGCTCAAGTATAGCACAGATGTCTGTCAAGTGCTGCTCTACGAATCTCCTGACCCCAAGCGCAACCTCGATCTCATCTCTAAGTACTGGTCCCTAAATTGGGAAGTCGTCTAGAAAGACTTTAACTTTATCCGGTATAAAGCCTTTCAGGACAACCACCTTGGCTCTCTAGAACACTGCGACTCAGTTGGTCCACCCCATAGGCACCACCATCATCTGGACTAGTCTGAGTGGCGTGTGCATTGTCGTGAGATGCCTATCCCTGGGGTCCAATGGTATCTCGTCATAACCTGAAAATAGGTCACAGACCGAATAAATCGTTCTACCAGCGGCGGCCTCTGCTAGTGGATATGCGTGAGTTATAGATTCGACATCTCTAATAGTAACCGCATTCACTTTCTTGAGATTTTGAATCCACCGAATCTTCCCATTCGGTTTTCGTATGAAAAACCATCTGTTTGCGTATGCACTGTGGGATGGCTAAGCTACGTGGGACGCCATCTTTTTCTTCCTCTGATATCCCATCATGTGCAGATCGCTCCCGAGCCACCGTTGTAGGCTTGACTTTCTGGGCTACTGTCTTGTGTCTTAGGTCGCCCCCTGTAGGGGGCTGGTCCCTTAAAAAAGACACGGAGATCATCCCTCCGAATTCCTCATCTTCGTCCTTCGGATAGGAGTTCCCATTCACGAGGATACGGTTGCCCAGGTCCCGATCTCGACGATGCGCCCTTCTTCCTCGATCAGTAGCGGTCCGTATTTCTTCTCACGGAACTGGAAGGAACGACTACCGAGGGCAACCTTGTCAGGCTCTCCTTTGGCGGCTAAAGATGCTCTGTTCCTTGGATCGCGAGGCTCGGCTGTCTCTATCATAATCCGACCACCGTCTGGTCGTTTAATCAATAACATCTTGCTCTCGTATGGTCGCTCTATCGTGACAGCATGAACGTGACTCAGCCAAGTGCGTCCTAAGAGTAGCTCTGAACTGCAGCCCTTGATAGCAAAAACTGGCATCCGAACGCGCAATCCTTCGACCTCTATCGCCGCCTTGTGACAAACATTGGTGATTTTCTGCTTCTTTCCCGCTGCAATCTCGATCTCAAAATGGTAGGATTTATCTAAGTCGAGCCCTAGCCGTACAGCGAGGCCCTCGTCTATAATAACAACCTCACTTCCATTGTCGATCACCCCTTCAAGGGTCTCCTCATCATTAAGAATGACCTCGACCGTCCCGCTCCCTAGGATATAAAACTTGTCGGGAGGTACCCCTTCCTTACCATCAAGGAACACCGTCACCGCACGGTCTGCCTTGGCGGTCACACTCGAAACTGCCACAGTTGGGGCCTCCGGTTTCGGTGCCACCTGTACCTCATCCCCGAGAGGAATGCGTGTCTTCCTCGTGATCATTTGTAGCTCGTCTCGCGCAGGTCAGGAAGCCGCCAAGTACTCGAGTATCGAGCACTGCATGGGTTGTCTAAGCGCGCGTCTGAGAGGCTCCACTGTATCAATATCATCCAATGAGCTCTTCATTGTGAACTTGCGAGCTCCGCGCTTCCGTGGTGACAGTAGTACTTCCTCTCCATCGATCCTCTGTCCATCCTTTTCTGCCATCACATAATCGATGTCCGTCTTCTTGGATGATGATGATCTGGCGGATTTCGTCGCCGCAACTCGGATAGGCATCGTAGGCTCGTCCTCGTCCGACGACATCAGTATCCTGATGCTCCAACTCCTCGCTACTTCCTTCCCTTTGCTGGGGCGTACTCGTCTGGCGTCGACGTTTTCCTTCATCGAAGGAAACATTGAGACATCTCCTAGGTCATCCGCCCACTTGACGTACTTTCGGTCGTCAAACACTACGACCCCCTCGTCTATTGCCCGCTTGAGGTCGGGGCAGTCCCTTTTGACATGGTCATCCGCCTTGCAGTAGACGCAAGTACTCCTCGGGGTAGGTGGTCTGTCCTCTCCGACTCTAGGCGTCAGTCCTCCCACTGCTCTGGCATTTGGGTTGGATGGTCCTGGAGACCTGGGATAAGTGGGTGACTTTAGATACCCTGACGATGCAGGATATCCTCCTCGATCATATCGCCCACGAGAATCGTCCCGCCGATCTCCTCGAGAATCATCGTGCCTTTCTCCTCTGGAGTCGGCACATTTGTCGCCTGCTCTATCCGCCCTATCATATCCTCCACGATATCCGTCTCTGCGATCCCGATCAGGTTCCCAGTGCCCGCGAGAATCTCCTCCATCCCTGTGCGTAAAGTTCACAGGGCTCCGGAAACCATCAGGATTCCGGTCGTACTTAGGGCTCCGTGGGTACTGCTCGAATCGTCCACCCCTGTAATACCCATCGTCATGGCGATATCGGTCGGTGTCACGATCTCTATCGATCTCATCATCTCTCCTCCTTCAGGGATCCTTGGCCCTCTCACGAGCTCGATAGTCTGCGAGCGTGCGAGGGTTCGTTTCCCCTACACTCCTTCATGGATCGGAATTCCCGCAATCCCATCGTAATGAATACGGAGATCCATGCTTGTCGCGATAGCCAGGTGCCCTAGTGTCCGCACCCGTCATCTCTCTGGCTATCCCTCTCATTATTTCCCTAATCTCTACTATCATTGACTCTCTATCTCGTGAACGACGCAGTCTATCCTCATCGAACTGGAACCGACGATCCGCCCATGGTTGGTCACGGAAGTCTGGGCATCGATCAATCTCATAATTTTTAAAGAGGGGGACATCCCTGTGTTTTAACCCTTTCCAGACCAGATCCTTGTAGTCATCAGCCTCGGCCTTCATTGCCATACGTCGGCCCGACTCTCGTCGCCTACTACGGCAGCTCAGACCTATGGAATAACTCGCAGCCCAAACGTATGAAATAATCCGCAGCCCGGACCTATGAAATAATCCGCAGCCTGGACCTATGAAATAATCTGCAGCCCAGACCTATGCGATCATCCGGTCGCACAGCTCGTCAGTGCTCAATCACTAGTCTGCGACAGCTCTCAAAATCGCTACGAGTCTCCCAGTCTCGTCCCGTATCTCGTGCTCACCCTCTATACCAAGAATCCCAAAATCAAAATAGAGTTATCCCCCTTGCTCCTCTATGCTGCGAATACCTCTCCTGATCTCTAGCACTCCCGTCTCCGGTACCCGCACTCTCCTGCAGATGGCAGTCGCGATCGTCCTCAACTCCTCCGGGGCACAAAATCGTAACCGCTCTCGTACGTCGATAAACGCTCTCCTCTCTAGATCACTCAACCCTCGATGCACGACACAGGCTCTTGCCTGCGGATAATCACCCCCTACGGCTATCAAACTTTCGACACCGAAGGGCTAAATCAATCACAGTTCCCTTGTTCCTTTCTTGCACCACTTGGTGAGGTACTGGTGGGCTAGGCAACCCCTGAAAGAGTGTTATCCGAGTGTCCCAGATAACCTCCTTACCCCGAGCTAGCAACCTATCTCGCTCACTTTCCACCAGTTCTTCTGCGCGCTCTCAGCATCTACCGTAGAACAGGTCGCTCCCTCTCTCTACTGGGAGATAAATCCTAACGTCGTACACGTCGATAGAAAGGAACCGGACAGTGACAACATAGAGGCGTATCTGCTCCCAACCGCTGTCGATTAACTCGTATGTCACCACCTCATACGGAATTACCTCTCTGCGCCCTATTGAACTCAGCCGCTCCCAAGTTGCCTCTAACTTCCCGTCCGATGGTCTATTGCCGCAAGGAACCTCTCTCTCCTTGCCTACAACTCCGTCTCAGAGATGGTTATACCTCCACTCATCCCTTGATCCTACTCTGAGCACTCCATAGCCACTAGGGCTAGAGCCATCCGAATCCTCTTTGCCGACTCCTCCAAATGCTGATAAAACGTCTCAAAGTCGTCTTGATCCCCGAAATCCTCTACGTCCTGCAAGGTCTCACTCATCTCCTTTCGGTAATTGTTGTGTGCTGTTAGTATCCTGAGGGTCGACCCGTCTACACCTTGCTCAACTCGCCAGCCACTCTAGCGTGCGCCTCCAATAGTCTCTCAGTCTCTGTCGGCGTTTCATGCCATGACCTGACCCGCGACTCCCCGTCGTACGGAAATAGACATAGTACGTATCTGATCAGTCGACCACACTCGATTGCTACCCAACGTCCGATTTCACGCGCACTCCTCAGGGCTACTCGAGTACACTCCGCCGCATCGATGACGCTAAGTCTCGTTAGGTAGTCTATCTGGATCATCACACGCACGACCGGTCCATGTATCTGTCCCACAACGCATAGAGCATACTCATCGTTGGAACTCCGAGTCGTCATGCTCATCTCGTTGTCATTGCTCCGGTGTCCTCTTTGCACTTCCTTCCTCGTCAGAATTTCCTTGTCCGATGTTCCCTCGGTCGGTCGCCTTCGTTGACGACTCTGCACCGTCGCGACTTCGATCCTTGCGATCCCTCGTCTTCAGACTCTCTAGAAAGTCTAAACGCCACCTCCTAAAGAACTCCCTGTCATCTCTGAATAACCTCTCTATCCCTCTGGTTCCCGCTTCTATCCTCCTCAACTTGCCTTCGTCTCCGCACTTCTGACACTCGCGTATCTTGTCCCTAGTTGCCGTTGTCGCCACGACAAGCGCGGACGGAGAGCGTTTGGGGGGAAGAAAGAAGGGAGTAGAAGCGGCTAGAGGGGTCGGACAGCGGCCCAGGCTATCCCGGACCGGCCAGGCCAAAGAAGGGGAAGTTTCATGGGCTCCACGTGGAGAAAAGGCTGGCCGGAGAAAAATCGGAGTAAGGTAGCCTTGATCTGGAAGCGGCGGCAGGAAAAAGGAGCCCCCTTGGACCTTGGGGGTGCCATTACTGCAGGCCGGGGTGTAACGGCCGTATGCCGGCTGCAAAATCAGACCTTGGGAAAGGTCCAACAGCCAGAAAGAGAAGAAATAGTTGTTGGACACTTGTCTTTTGGACACTTGTCCAACAGTAATGAGAGAAGGAGGGGAGAGAAAAGGGGGAGAATGAGACAAAGGAGGAGGAAGGAGTGGAGGAAAAAGTGCCGCCAGGTTGGGATTGCAGCAGTAGGGATGGGCAGGTCCCAATGATGACCTCATCCCTCCTACATCCTAGGAGTGCAGTCCGGATTGCAGAGATAAGGTCCTTGGGGCATTATCTCTGCAATATCTGAATTTAAGCAACAAAAATAAGGAAAAATGCTGATGTGAGTTGGCCGGCTTATTTTTGGGCCTTAGATCTGAGATCTGATCTTGCGGAGGAGGAAATCTAGCCGATTTTTGTGGGCTGACACAAAACGGCTAGCTCCGGAATGAGATGGCAGCAAATTGGAGGGAAAACAAGGGGAGGAACAAGACAAAACTGCAAATTTGACCCAAGATTTGGGCCAGGTACATAAAACAAAATTGAAAATTGAAGTAAAGGCTCAAATTTGGGGCAAGGGGAGCTTGGGAGTGACTCGAAATGATGAGGACCATGGATTTCAGCCAGATCCAAGGCTGAGATAGGAGCCGCCGCTTGGAAAATGCAACGGCCTACTCAAAAGAGGCCTAGACTAAGAAAAAGATGAAAAATGGGTTTCTAGGCCCTCAATTCTCAGTAAAGGCTGCATTTTGTGGTAGTGGTACCCAAAAGGCAGCACCTTTTGAAAAGAAAAGAGGCCGGGGTAGGCCAAGGGGTAGTCCGAGTGGGTACCAGCCTCTCGGACTGCATGTACCTGGCCAAAATGAGGCCCACGTACCTCCAGGTAGGCCAAGACTGGAAATTTGGCCCTTGAGGTACCTCGCTCCACCTAGAGGCACTTGGAGGGGCCTAGAGGTTGGGCGGTGCACCTGTTCCAGCCTATATAAGCTGGAGGTGTAGGCCGCAACTCTCATTTGAGCATGAGAGGTGCCTATGCTGCCCAAATGAGTCTGTGAGTGAGTACTAGTGAGATAGAGCAAGGGAGTGAGGGTCGGAGCTAGCATGTAGCCTGGCTATGGTGGTAAGACTGAGAAAGGTAACCTACAGGCTAGAAGGGAGCAAGGTGAGTGATCCGCCAGAGCCCTCAGGCTGTGAGTTAGGAGAAGAGGCTGAGACAGCGGTCCCCTTAGCCCTCTTAGAGGGGAGGACTCCACAGCCTTAGAGTTAGAAGCCGGCCATAGCTAAGAAAGAGAAGTGAGGGACGAAGGAGAGAATGTGGGAGGGAAGAGAAGTCACGCTCAAGAGGCTAGAACCAAGCATTAGGGCTCCACTGCCTAGAGACCAGCAAGAGGTGAGTGAAAAGGAGGGAGGCCTCCCTCTCCTTCTCCCTCCTCTACCCCCTTCTCATTCTTCTTCTCCTTCTTCTCTCCTCTCTTCTTCTTCTTCCTCTTCTTCTTCTTCTTCTTCTTCTTCTTCTTCTTTTTCTCCCTCTTCCTCTTCCTGTTCTTTTCTTTCTTTCTCTCCCTCTTCTCCATCCCCCTCCTTGTCAAAACTGCGGTTTTTGCTGATCTGGGAGGGTGTAAATGTTGCGATTCACTTGGTGATACTTCCGTGATGTTTCCCCTTGAGTAGATGCTTCAAAGCTTGAATTTTCACTGATGTAGGTGCATGTGCATGCTGCGATTCACTTGGTGATACTTCCGTGAAGTTTCCCTTTGAGTAGATGCTACCAACCTTGAGTTTTCATTGCTTTTGGTGCTTGCACATGTTGCGATTCCCCTTGTGATACTTCCGTGAAGTTTCCCCTTGGGTAGATGCTATCAATCTTGAATTTTCACTGTTGTAGGTGCTTGTACATATTGCGATTCACTTGGTGATACTTCCGTGATGTTTCCCCTTGAGTAGATGCTTCCAATCTTGAATTTTCACTGATGTAGGTG